CTGACCCTTCCTTGCTTGGCTTTGGGTGCCAAAGGGGAAGAGAAAGAGCGCCTACTGAGCAGGCCAGCTGAGGGGTGGGCACCAGCCACTGGGTCAGTGTGTCTTGGGTCCTCCAGTGTGGACAGAGCACGTAGACACCTGGGGAGGGAGGGGCAGGAAGGATGGCTGGGCTGGCGGGGACGGGAGGAGGGTCTAAGAGAGGGAGACAGGGAGAGATGTGGGGAAAAGCCAGCCAGACAGGGGAGAGAACCAGAGAGTGAGACAGACGCCCACAGAATCGGAGCTGTGAGTCAGGGCCACCCTGAGACCCCAGGAGAGAGACCCACAAGAGGCAGAGAGACACAGAGGTAGAACGGGAAAGGTAGAGATGGGGAGAGAGGCAGAAAGGGCCAGCTATTGTTGGTACAGGTGAGATAACCCAGGGCCCCGCAGTTCGTGGTTTGGAGTCTGCCCTGCCCGTGGGGCCCCAGAGACTCAGAGGACCCTGTGCTATCCTGGGGTTGGGAGCCTGGGTGCCTGGGTGCTGGGTACCCTGGTCCTCCTCACTCTCCTCATCTTCACAGCGGGTCCCTGTGGGGGCCATGGGAGAAGGTGGAGTGTGGTACCCCCTGGCTGGGAGACCCGGACAATGGGGGGGATGAGAGTAACTGCGTGAGTCCTCACTGAGCACCTGCCGCAGGCAGGAGGTGCTCTCACTCTCCTGTCACACAGATGAGGCACTGGTGTCGGTGGGCCCAGGGGGCCGTGTGACTGACCACAGGGCTGCAGGGCCTAGCTAGGAAGGCCTGCTCCCCAGCTGGCTCTGTCCCCCACCCCCTCAACATTCCTGGCCATCTTCTCGCCTAGATGAGGGGGTGGAGCAGAGCCAGGAGCTGATGCGCAGCCCACCGATAGCCAACTCTTGATGTGAGTCACAGGGCAGAGGCTTTCCAGGAGGAGGAGGAGGACATGAAGGCAGAGAGGTGGAGGAAGGGCAGGACAGTAGAAGGAAGGGAAACAGGAGTGGTACCGGGGAGAGGTGTGAGAGACGGGACAGGGAGTAGCCCCCTCACGCCACCATGCATTCTGAGCACAGCAGGAGGACACCAGTCAGCTGCAAGCTGGGAGAAAGAAGTGGAGGTCCAGGGATTCAAGAATCCTGAGACGGAGGATATTGTTTTAGATCACGCCTCTCCCACCTCCTTGACACCCTCCATAGTCAGGAGAAACAACTTGGGGTTTGGAGTGGGAATCCGGGCTGGCTCTCAGTGCTGCATGACTCAGCAAGTCCCTTCCCCTCCCTGGCCTCGGTTTCCTCACCTGCACACCTGGGGGACAGGGGCAGAAGTTGGGAGCATGAGATGAGCATGTGTTGGCCACTGGAAACTCATAACAGAGAGGGTCTCCCCTGTGCCCACCCTGATGAGCGGCATCTTGCTGACAGCTCTGTCTGGGGGCCTGGTCATCTCTGTCTCTCCCTGCTCATCCCTGATGGCAATGGCGATGATGATGATGTTTCTCGATCAGAATATTTTGGAACTCATTTTTTTTCTCTTTTTGGATGTTACAGTAGAAGCCAAAAAGAGACTTTCGAGTCTCCCCCAGAGGGCATGGAGAGGGCACTCAACCCAGGGGGCCTTTCCAGGAAATGGCAGAGCAAACACTTGCTTGGACCCCACCCCACCAGAGATTCAGCAGGATTGGGGATCCCTTGAGAATGAGGGGATGGATGAATGACATTCACAGCCCCGAGGTTACCTGCAACCCTCGAACTGACTTGACTGAGATTGAGCTTCCCCCACCCAGTAGTGCAGGGCTTAAAATAGATTGTGTTGAATTATGTTCAACAAAGAGTCTAAGTCTTGGGAAACACCAACATTTTTGGGGTGTAGGGTGACAGGAGCCACTTGAGGGACTGGAGGAACACTCATGCATGTGTCCAACAGACATGTATTAAGCACGTACTATGTGTCAGGCACTGTTCTAGGTCCTGGGAACCCAGCAGGGAACAAAATAGACATGGTCCCCACACTCATGGTCTAGCCTTCTTGGATCTAATAGACCAAAAGACATGCTTTTAATAACTGGGAAGTGCTAAGAGAGAAAAATGAATCCAGGTGAAAGAATAGAAAGAGACAGAAGAAGGGTGTCTGTTTTAAATGGGGTGGACAGGGAGAATCTCTGAGGAGATGACACTTTCACAGAGACCTGAGGGAGGCCAAGGTGAGGCATGTGGTTGTTTGGGGAAGGGGTGTTCCACGGAGCAAGGATTTTTAATTTTATTCTGAAGAGACAGGAGCCTCGGGAGGGTTTTGAGCAGAGGAGGGACGGATCTAATTTAGGCTTTTAGTGGGATCCCTCTGTTTGCTACATGGAGAATGGACTGTGGGGCCAGGGTAGAAACTTGGAGCCCAGGTGGTGGCTGTGATGACTGTCCAGGCAGGGGATGGAGGTGCCGGGTCCAGGGTGGGGCTGTAGAGATAGGGAAAGTGGTCAGAGCTGGCATGTTTGTAGATGATGGAGACAGTTTCTGGAAGGATGGTGTTGGTCAGCAACATTCCATTGTCAGGTGATTGGTATGATGAAGACTGAGCTGTGGCCATTGGATTTGGGAAGTGGGGTGCAGGAGGGGAACTTACAGGAAGGAGTAAGTAGGATGTGGGAAAGTAGAGGCAGAGCATGTGGGTTTGTAAGAGCCAGGCCAGGAGCAGAGGGTCTGGGTTGGAAAAGAGGCTTGTTTTCTGTCCTCCTCTCCTTTCTCCTCTTCTTCTTTTTTAACATGGGAGATTATGAGAGGGACCAAAAGAGGGGAAGACACAGGAAGGGATGGTTTGAGGAGAATGACGGACTGCAGGGGAATGGGACCTGCAATCTAGGAAGGAACAGAGGCCTTGGCCCAGGGAGGAGCCCCTCCTCTCTGAGTGTGAGAAAGGCTCTGGGGACTGGTGAATGCACAGGTGAATTTGCAGATGTGGAGCAGGCAGCTGAGGGGCATCTCTCCTCTTGGCCTCAGTTCTCATTGAACGAGGAGGCCCATGGTCTGGTGAGAGGACAGGGGAGTTATGTAATGAAGATGGAGACTCAGGGATGAAATGACTCTTATGTGACTGGAACTAGCTGTGTGAAGAGACGCATACAATATCAGGGCAGCTTGGAGACCCCTCTGGGTCAGGCTCCATTCTGTAAGACAAAGAGCTCCCTCAAGGGGGATCCAGGGATGGGGTGGTGGCATGTTGGAGGTGTTGTAGGGCAGGGGGGTGGGAGAGTGAGTGGGCAAAGGACTATGGGAAGATGGTGAGTGGGAGGCTGAGGAGATAGAGAAATGGTCGGGGCAGGGATAAGATAGGAGGTTAAGTGGGCATGAGCACAAGTGTGTATGCCAATGTGCATGAAGCAGGTTGGTTAGATTTGGGAGTGGAGAATGGACTGTGGGGTCCAGGGTGGGAACAGATAACGCTGGGTGCTCAAGGCCATCTTTTGGAAAACAGAGTAAACTACCAGAACTTCAATTTCCATGATTTCACATGTATCTTTTTAAAGTTCTATTTTCATTTGTGCTATACCTTGTACGTATTATGTTAACATGTACAGAAGTATTAAATAAACATATACATATCAGGGGAGTGGACACTGTTTGCTGATTAAGCATGTATTTGAACAATTTGGAGACCACTGGGTAAAAAGGGACTGCTCCTTGGAGAGGCAACTTGTCAGAAGCTGTCTGCTGTTTAATATATTTGAAAGCCCCAGGAATCAATCCCATGACCCCTCCATCTCATGACCCTACTCAGACTTTCTCCTGTGCTGGGGGCCTGAGGCCTGTTCTCTCTCTTGGCAGCACCTACTTAGGGGACCCTGCCAGCCCCATCTTGGACCCTGCATGACACCTTTCCTGCCCCGACACCCACCCAGAGCCAAGCCTGCCTCGTTCCTCTCTGTCTCTTGGACACAGTAGGTGCTCAGGATGTTTGCTGAAAGAATGAGGATTGGAGATCCTACAGCAGCCCTGGCCTTGGGCCAAAACATCTGTGGTGTCTTCCACTCCTGCTTTCTGCCGCCCATTAGAGCTGATTAGCTCCCCCTTCAGAATATACCAGAATCTGGCTGACCACACCCCCTTCCAGCCCAGCCTAGCTCCGGGCCTTCATCACTTCTTGTCTTGTGGCTGCAGTGAGTGGCCTCCGCTTTGAGCTGCCACCACCCACCTTGCTCCCTACAATCTATTTCATTAAAACTAAATCAGGTGTGTCTCCCCCGGCTCAAAAGCCTTCAATGGCTTCTGTGATGCACAGAGCAAACGCCAAGGTCCTCCCAGTAGCTCCAAGGCCAGACATCGTCTACCCTCCCCTCCTCTCTCAGTCTCTTCCCGCACCCCTTTCTCCTCTTCCTCCTCTGCCCAGTTACAGTGGCTGCCCTGCTGGTCCCAGGTCCCAGGTGCCCAACTGCATTCCCAGCCCTGATCTGCTGGTCCCTTTGCAGTGAATGCCCTCCTGGCAGACACCTGCATAGGTTGCTCCATCACATCACTTGTTGTCTGGGTTCAAACATCACCTCCTCTGAGAAGTCCTCTTGAATTATCTGACCTCAGCTAGCCACCTCTGGTCACTCCTTGCCCTCTTCCCTCCTTCATTTTCCTTTACCACCTGACATTGTAGTTGTTTATTGTTTCTCTCTTTATCACCTCTTTCCCCCATTAGTCCAGCAGGGGAAATATTGTTCTGTTTACTGTTGTATCCCCAACACCTAGGATTGGCCAGACCCATGGTCTGTGCTCAGTCAATTTCTATCAGTTGAATGAATAAATGGCCTTTAGGGAGCCAGGTTTTCAGTTCTGACCTTGCTCAGTCTTGCTGTGTGGCCTTAGGCCCATCCCTGGCCCTCTCTGGTCCTCATTATCCCAATCTGTACAACACAGGTACAAGGGTCCCATCAGCCCAGCCCTCTGTGCCCAGGAAAGCCCCTGGGGTGGATGCTCCACCTGCCCAAAGCCACCCACTGCCCCCTCTGCAGGGCCAGCTTACCTTCTGCAGCCACTGTGTGTTGTTCTCCAGCACCTTCTCCAGCTGCCTCACCCGCTGGGTGGGCCAATCCTCCAGGTTCAGCACAGTGGCTGGTGAGTCCCTCTGGAGGCTGTTGGAGCCCCCGAAGGCCTCAGGCTCCGGTGGGCAGGGCTCAGGCTCAGGCAGTACAAAGGTGTAGCTGCACTGGCCGTGCTGGACTCTGTGTGCCCGGCGGCGCCCGCCTGCCTCTTGCCCCCTCTGCTGGGCTCCAGTCATGGTGGCCATGAGGAGGAGGAGGCCCCCCAGCAGCATGGCTGGCTGCAAGAGCATCCAGCAATGTGGCAACAGTGAGGAGTGTCTGGCCAGAGCTCCTGGGGCTTTTCTTGTACGCTGCCCAGCCCCTTGCCCTGGTTGTACCCGCTGTGGCCACCAGTGCACAGGGCTGCCCGCAGAGCCGGCGGCTGCACCCCACGCTGGCCGAGCTCTGTCCAGGCAGCTATTTATACTTGCTCCAAATACCACAGCTGCTCTGCTTCCTCCCCCAGCCTCTACTCCCGCCCCGACACCCCCTCACCTCTATTCTTCCCCGGCCCTTCCTCCCTTCCTTCCTCCTCACTTGTGCCCACTGGCTGCCCTGTGCCGGCCCTGCTCTGCCCACCTGGCCTCTGAGTCCTTTATTATCCAGTGGGGGCCTGGCCTCCCTGTGAAAGGGAAGGAAAGAAAACAACACACACACAGACACACACACACACACACACACACACACACCAAAGCCCCGACACTACCCCTTTCAGAAAACCAAATGCAACAGCTCTCTCTCTTCCTGTCTCTCTCTGTCTCTCTCTCTCCAGCCTTCCCCCACCAAGGCTGAGATCTCAGGTTTCAGCCCCCATGCTTCCCCTTCTTTACCCCCTCCGCCTTCCCCACTCTGTTCCACGTTAGTGCTTGGAACACAAGCGAAGTGACCCCCAGAGAGAGCAGGGGAGGCAGGGGGTAAGGCTGGGGAGGAGGCAGCGAATCCAATCTGTTTCTAGACACACAAAATCTTTGCATTCAGGGAAGTGGGCACCCTGGCGGGAGCTGGCTCCCATCTTCCCTTTTCCCTTGGGGCCCTGGGAGACCTTGTGCTCTGGGTGGCCCCAGCTAAGTTGCTGTGGCAGTAATGAGAGGTTGTCCTCATTACTGGGGCAGATTGTTCTGGGCCTCCTTTGGCTGGAGTGGGGAAGTGGATTGTGGGGAGGATGACTTGGGGTGCAGAATATCTCTGCCAGCCCCAGGATCAGAGATGGCTGCTTCTAAACCCTGCTCCCCAAGTGCTGGCTGTGAGACCTTGGGTGGGTGGCTTCACCTCTCTGGGCCTCCATATCTTGGTCTGTAAGCCAGGAAAACTCCATCTCTTGCATGAGGAATATATGTGAGTCCTCAGCCTGGGGATAGAGGCACTTTTTATTTCTTGTTTACATGTTTACTGGTTCAAATCCAGGCTCCATGACTTACCAGCTGTGTGACTTTGGGCAAGTCACTTAACCTCTCTGTGCTTCTGTTTCCTGTCTTAGTGAAGAGAAGAAAATAATACCAGCCACTTCACACGGTGTGAAAATCAGGTGAGTTAGAGTAGCACTGGCACAGGGTGAGCACTAAATAAATTTTTTTATTGTTATCAGAGGCATAGTTACTATGTATCCAATCCCCCAGCTGTCTGGAATTAAACCCCATAAGGGCAAGGATTTGCCCCTTGGGAGACATGGTCACTGGGCAGGAGGTGCCCAGGAGTTGGTTGGGCCTCTCCTGGGTGGGCTGCCTTCCAGCGTTTTCTGCTCATTTTCCCAGAGTGAGGGCCAGTCCAGCTGTTTGGTGTTTTTTTCTCTTTGTTTTCCCAAATCCTGATGGAATTTTGAACCGGGCAGCCTCACTGGGGGCAGCAGCAAGCTAGGAGCTCATCCGGGGGACTAGGAACATTAAAGCAGATGTGTGGGGCTCTGGCAGGAAAAGGAAAGGTGGCTGATTCAGCCACCAGCATTCGCTGAGCTTCCCATGTGCTCAGAGCCCTGCTTGTCCACCACCGCCTCAACTGTCTCAACTGTGAAGGGGTCATAACACCTCTAGCCTTGTGAGGAAGAGGCCATGAGCTTATCACAGTGCCTGGCTCAGGTGAGCCCAGAATAGAGGTCGGCTGTCATTAGGATTGCGTCCATCGAGCCACACAATAACCCCAACAAGGGCAAGACTTTATCTACCCGATTTTACAGAGGAGGAGACTGAACACCAGAGCAGGAGAGAGATTCGCCTAGAGTCACACAGCCTGGGGTCCCTGACCTGGAACTGAGAAAAGAGGACAGGCTCGGCCACTAGGCTGGCCATGGAGCCCAGCCCCCATCCTACCACTCCTCCCTCAGGGCACTGGAGGACATGTGCCCCCTCAGCCTCAGACTCCTCATCTGTGCCCTGGAAGGAGCATTCACATGACCTGGTGGGGCACCGAGATGACAAAGGAAGCTCCAGGCACAGGAAAGGCATTGAACCTAATAAGATCAAGAGAATGAATGAATGAAATGTAATTCCCTTCCATGAAAGGGCTTAAATAGAGGGCCCCGAAATTACACTAATGGCTCTCTGCACAGAAGAGGAAACAGGATTACCTGTTCACAGGGAAATGTAGGTAGGAACAAAAGGAGAGTTCTGGAAAGCCCAGGAGATGGCCCTGCCAACCTCTGTACTTTTAATTCAGCACCTCCTTCTCACCTCAGGACCTTTGCATATGCTGCGTTCTCTGTGTAGAAACTTGTCCACCCACTCTTACACCCCACCTTTCATCAGTGTTCCAGTTACTGTGGCTGCCAACAAAATATCCCTACACTTAGCGGCTTAAAACAAAGTAATAACCATCTATTATCTCTCAGGACTTCTGTAGGTCAGGAATGAAGAAGTAGCTCGGCTCTGGGCTCTCAGGAGGTCGCAGTCAGATAACAGCTGAGCGAGGGTCATTCTGAAGGCTTCTTCCCTCATCTGTCAGCACATGGGCATGCCCCACCCCTACCCCTTCTTGGGCTCTTCAGGTGGTGTCCCCAGCTTTGGGAAGCCAGGCTTCTCACACAGCCACTTAGGGCCACAAAGGTGCATGTCCCCAGAAAGCCCTGTGGAAGTCACATTGCATTTTATGACCTAGCCTCACTGGAGCTTCGACCACATTCATCGGTTGGCGTCTGCCTAGGTCATGACTGGGAACACAGACAGCACCTCTCAGTCCGCGAGAAGAGCACACAGGAAGGGAAGCACCTCGATGCGGCCCTCTCTGGGAAGGGCTCCGGGAAGGCCCTGTCAGGGCCATTCCAGTCTTAAATCAGATCTTCCCTCTCAAAGTCCCGTTCCTTTTCTTACTGCTTCCCAAGGTACTAAGAGGTTAACTACTCATCTCTGTCCCCAGCATTTGATGCACAGTATTTTGTAAACATCTGCCAAAAGCATGAGTGAGTGAGTGAGTGAATGAGTGATTGAGTGAGTGAATGAGTGAGTGAATGAGTGAGCAAGTGAGTGAGTGAATGAGTGAATGAGTGAGTGAGTGAATGAGTGAGTGAGTGAATGGGTGAGTGAGTGAATGAGTGAGCAAGTGAGTGAGTGAATGAGTGAGTGAATGAGTGAGCAAGTGAATGAATGAGTGACTGAGTGAGTGGTGAATGAGTGAGTGAGTGAGTGAGTGAGCAAGTGAGTGAATGAGTGAGCAAGTGAGTGAGTGAATGAGTGAGTGAGTGAGTGAATGAGTGAGTGAATGAGTGAGCAAGTGAATGAATGAGTGACTGAGTGAGTGGTGAATGAGTGAGTGAGCGAGTGAGTGAGCAAGTGAGTGAATGAGTGAATGAGTGAGTGAGTGAATGAGTGAGCGAGTGAGTGAGTGAGTGAATGAGTGTGAATGAGTGAATAAGTGAGTGAGTGAATGAGTGAGTGAGTGAATGGGTGAGTGAGTGAATGGGTGAGTGAGTGAATGAGTGAGTGAGTGAATGAGTGAATGAATGAGTGAATGAGTGAGTGAGTGAGTGAATGAGTGAGTGAATGAGTGAGTGAGTGAGTGAGTGAATGGGTGAGTGAATGAGTGAGCGAGTGAGTGAATGGGATGCTTGAGCCAGGCTCTCCCTGCCAGCTGGATGAGGGGTGGGCGGCTGGCATGCTGTGGAGCCTCGTGGCGCTGGCTGCAGGTGACACAGATGTGCTGGGTGCCCTGGGCAGATCACTGACGGTTTGGGCCACAAATTCCTTCTCCTCAATCGAAGAGTGTGAAACAGGCTCTACCCATACCTCCCGGAGATCTCACAGAGTTGATCTAGGGAAAGTTTACAGAACTGGTAGGCCACTGAAGATCTTTAAACTCATGGCCGTGGTTGGCGTTGGTTGGGCATAAGTCTAGCCTGGAGGTGGATGGTTTACAAAGTGACCAACCAGCCCTCAAGAAAGTGGGGACCAGTCATTTCCAGAAAGGCAGCAGGTGCCATGGTGGTTGTAGGTAGGAGGAACAGGCTGGAGGCATGACCCAGACAGGGAACTGGAAAGGTGCCCTCTGGTGTCACTCAGCAAGCCCAGGGAGCCCATGAGCCAGGTCCAAAGGCAACACTGAACTTTGGGCCTGAAAAAGCCTTTGGTAAGCTTTAGGCTGTGTGCACGGACACATGACACATGCATCAGAAGGGACCCAAGACTGGCTTTTTAAGTCACCCCTACCACCCAAGCCTGTCAATTAAGAGCCCATACTCCTGCCCCTGAATCTTGATTGCACTCAAGTAGTAAAGTGCAATTGAGTATTGCACAGATGAGACTCAGTTTCCTCATTTATAAAATGGGAGAACAGTCCCTCATCAGCAAGTTGTTGGGGGTTGTCTTACAGTTACCAATGCTGTGTAACAAACTACCCCAATACTTTGTGGCTTAAAATAACAGCAACACCTATTTTACTCATAAATGTGCAGTTTTGGCCAGGCTTGGTGGGGATGGTCTTCACTAGGCTCCATTCAGCATCAGCTGGAGTGCCCTGAAGGCCAGAACATGGAATCAGCTAGAAGTTCCTCCACTTACACATCTGAGCCCTCTATTGGGTCTATCAGCCAGAACTACTGCACATGGCCTCTTCCGGTGGCTGGGGTCTCCTCACAGCTTGGTAGCTGGGTCCTGGAGGCAAACATCTCAAAAGAATCAGACAGAAGGTATAAGACCTTTTATGACCTAGCCTTACAAAATCACACAGGGTTAACTCTTCTACATTCTATTCATAGAGGCAATCACAGAGTCCCACCCGAGTTCAAGGGGAGGAAGGATAGATTACCTCTTGATGGGGAGTGGCAAGTTTTCAGAAGAGCACGTGGATGGGAGATGTTGTTGTGGCCATTTTTTTGAAAATACAATCTGCCACAGGAGGGTAAGGATGAGAAAATGCCTTTGCAGTAGCCGGTGAGCGCTCGAGGCTTGGTAGCTGTTGCTATTACCCTTGCTAGTACTAGAAAGATCCAGCATCTCTTTGCATGAAAATGTCTTTCAGACACTGTAGTAGC